ATATTTAAATCTATTTTAACAAGGTTTTAAAAACACAGAGGCAGTACTGACCCAGTGTAACACATCAATCTGTTGGACCAAGATGAAAAAGAACTTGTAATTAAAGAGTACTTCCGTCAGTTTCCTGTACTGTCAGTCACTTAGCCCAGACCTTTTCAATTAGGTAATTTCCTCTGAACAGAATTCTCAGCTCGCTGCAGTTCCTCAAACTCTGCAAGGTTTCAAGGAAAGAGCCTGAAGCTCTCAGTTTTTTGTTTGTATGTTTGTGTACATAATACTATTATGTATATGCATATATGTATAATATAGATATATTTATCAGACCAAGAAACTACTTAAATTTTCAATATCTTTATTACTTAGCTATTCATTAATGCTGACAGTTCTGGTTATTTTTATCTCCTACCATAGCTCACCTTTTCCTCTACAGTTAGTCACACCAAGATGTAGAGGAAAAATGAGCTACATCTCCCAAAAGGAAACCAAGTGAATTCACACTATTTCTAGCTTTTCCTTTTTCATTTTTCAGGATCAAAACAAACCTTGTTTAATTCCTTGTCATCAGAAACCCTCCAGAACCACTACCCAGGAGCAAAACATTCCCTCTGCCAGCTGTCTGACATTTTAGAAAGAACATTTGCACCATTGTTTACTAGTTAGGAAGACAGGGGATTATTATCTTTATTTTACAGACAGAGAACCAGATGCAGGTCAAATGACTTGTCCAGTCACACAACCAACTAGTCATAGAGCCTGGATTCCCTACCACAGTTCTGATGACTCCTAGACCAGGGTGCTTGCCACTACATCATACTTTCTCATTAATAAGTCCTCTCCAGAACAATCAATGCAACTAGAAACAGAAGAGAAAAACATGCAAATTGAAGAGTTAGGAAACTGCACAGTACAAGTGACAGATTCAAAATACAACATAAAAAGCTGTGAAAGCATGAAAATTAAACTCTTTGAAGCCAAACAGAATTGAACAGGACAGCTCTGCTAGCAGGTACTGATATTTAGGCCATGCCCATCTTACTCTCCTGTAATAAGAAGCTGAAACAGATAGCCAGGCTGCTGGCATTAGTTATTTATGGAAGGGCAGAAAACAACAGTTCTTCATTGACTGGGAAAGAAGCCTTTGTGTGTTAAACATATTTCACAAGTTTGTAAAATAACAATTTCTTCTTGTGGAGGAAATTACAAGTAGCAGGATTTTATAATAATTTTTGTATAGTTCAATTGTGTTTTGTCATTAATAAGACTTTATTTTTTTCAGAACCCATAACCAGGACAATATTGTCTTCAATGGCATGTCTGAAACAACTGGTGAAATCAGAAACCTAGACAGAAGATGGCCTCACTGTGAGCATAAATAATAACCCAAGCTACTCTTTTAAAAAATTGTCAAAGGCATAGCAGTTCGTTCTAAATATTCTTTTTTTGAGAAATGATTCATGTCATTTCAACCTTTTTTTTTTTCAGTACAGTACGTTTTACAGGTTTTTTAATTAATTGGGAAAAAAATGGAAAGACATCTAATGTGTCTGGATGGGAACACTGAGTATTATAAAAAGTCAGTTCTTCACAAATTAATCTATAAAGTCAGTTCAATCCAAATCAAAATCCCAGCAAGGTTTTAATGGAATTTGATTTTAGTGTCTCTAACTCATTCTTTGTCTTTTTTAAAGTGAAAGAGACTTTACTTTGGGTGGTGATCGCGCAATGCAGTGTGCAGATGGTGTTTTATTGAGTTGTATACTTGAAACCTGTATGGTTTTATTAACAAATGTCACCCCAATAAATTCAATTGAAAAAAAAACAACACAGTGCCCGGCCGGGCATGGCTCAGTGGTTGAATGTCAACCTAGGATCCAGGCCATCGGGGTTCGATTCCCGGTCAGGGCACATGCCCGGGTTGCAGGCTCGATCCCTGGTCAGGGGCTTGCAGGAGGCGACCGATCAATGACTCTCTCATCATTGATGTTTCTCTCTCCCTCTCCTTTTCTCTCTCTGAAATCAATAAAGATATATTTAAAAATTAAATAAATAAAGAAATAAAGAAATAAAGAAATAAATAAAACAAAGCAAACTCCTATCCTGCCAAAATAAAAATCTTCTGCAGTATCCTTGCAAATTGCTTTACCAACCTTCTCAAAAATGAAAAATAAAACACAAAATATTCATATTATCCATAAGGCCTGAGACAAATGAAATGGGCTGTGGTTGTCAAGAAGTATGCAAGAAAGTTACCTGTGGTATATTTTTACCCACTTTCTGCAGTGATTCTAGCTTAAGTTAGGGGAAAAGGTCATCAATATCATAACT